AGAGGGAGGGAGGGAGGGAGGGGGAGGGACAGAGGGAGGGGGAGGGGAGGCGGCAGGGAAACCTCACTGGGCTTGATCTTCTTTTGACTAATAGTGACAGCAGCCAAAGCTCACTGCAAACGAGCTTTTTCTGAACACGAAGCTGTTGGGGTTCAGCCTTCGGTGAGCTCAGACTCTTCTGGGCTGTGACAGCGGGACCCTGGGCTCCGTCCTCGAGTGGCTTGGGGGTAGGGGCCTGTGGGGTTCACTCGGAGAAACGCGGCTGGACGGAGTTACGACGCCTCGTCCCCAGGCACAGGCGCCCCAAGCCCTCAGTCCAGCCTGCTGCTGGTTTAGGGAGTGAGGGACGCCGCTGAACTCAGGAGGCCTCGAGGAACCACGCGCTCCCAGCGAAACAGGCCACTGGCCCGCGACGCCACACACGGGGGGCCTGGCACGGCAGGAGGGGCGCGTGGGGGCACCGAGCCTCCCCGGGGAAGGCGACGACGCATCTAGGGTGCAGCCGGCCGGTGTCCCGTCTGTCCTTCCCCAGGAAAAAAATCCCCTGCAGCTCTGACCGCCAGCTGAGAGGCGTCAACTCCCTGTCTGGACCCTCAGTCATGAAAGCTTGGAGCCTGAGTTTCTCGGGTCCTGCCACCCACCCGCTCCCACTCCCTCCTCATGTCTTGGCTCACGACACGTCCCTCCGGCCACACAGACCACAGCCGGCCACGGGCTGCACGAAACCTTCCCGCCCAGCTCTACCACGGTCACCACATGGGCTTCTGGGGGCTACCCCAAGGGCTGGCTGTCGCCACCTCCACATTTAAAGGCTCTCAACCCAGAGGGAAGCCAGTGCACCCCAGGAAGTACTCGCCCTGGTTCTGTGTCCCCAGAGCCAGGCCTGGAGCCAGAGGAAAGAGCAGAGAAAGGGAATTTATGCGCCGAGGAAACGGGCGAAGGGCGCAGGGAGCCAGGCGCCGCGCCTGGCTGTTGAGGCCACGGCCGGTCTCGTCCTCCAGGACTGTGCCGGTCACTCGCTGTGCAGGAGGGGGACCCCAGCTGGAGGGCGCTCAGGTGGTCAGTGTGCCTGGCTGCAGCAGGGACTGAGGCGAGGCGCGTGCAGGGAGGAGAGGGGCCTGGAGGGGACCCCTGGGTGCAGCCCACCCTCCGGCCGGGAAGGGACAGAGCGCCTGGGCCCGGCGGGCGTGGCAGGAAGTGGCGTGAGGGCTCGGGCGCTGCGCCCGCCGCCCCGCCTGGCCCGTCCGGGGTGGTGGCGCTCTCTGGTGGGCTCCAGACCGGTCATGGCCGGGCTCTGCCAGCCTCCGCCTTCGCCTGGGGGTTGGGGGTGTTGCTCCCCCAGAATCACAACCCAGAGGCCCAGCAGCTTTATTAAACGACCCTGGCTCGGGCGGCACCGCCAGGACCCCGAGGGCCGCCGGGGTCTGCAGACAGA